CAAAATGACGGAGGATCCAAAAGTTAGGGCGTGTACATTTATCAGTGGTTTCATAACCACTCATCTTTCCCATTTATACACCCATTTATATTATGCTGTATTATACATTTTAAAAGGAGACAACTTACAAGCTCATAAATCAACGCTATTCATTCCACGAACAACATGTTCTGTGTACATGTGCAGTACAAAATCAATATTTATTGAAGTACAGCAAACCTTCCTTGAACTTGCATTGCAAACCTACTATAAGTGTGTACTACAGTCGGCTAGCTTTTCCAATTTACACGAAAGCCAAGTCAGCACTGCGGCAGACCAATGGGCCAAACGGCTACCAAAATAAATCGAAATCTTCTGCAGCAGTGCTTCTGTTTCTCAAGAGTTCCCTACATTGTTCATTTGACTTCCATTAAGGTTTTTGATTCAGAGTAGCTTGAGGATTTGTTTATTTAAACATAAACCAAAGCCTAACTATGAAAAACGGACTAATTAGAATCGTGTAAACTACATTCTCATACATACACGCAGGAAGCAGCTGCTGTTTCTCAGCCTTGTGCTTACAGACAATGAAGAACGCTAAAAGAGGAAAGCAGCATTTATCCTCTCTGGTGGTTTGGGGCAGGTCGTACCATATATTTATCAAGTAGTTAGAATGACTTTTCATTACAGCGTAGACTGCTGCGGTCAGAGCGGCTTCTCCACTCCAGCACTTATTGGCGGGTTTTACGGAGGACAGTATGGAGAGATCTGCGCCAAGCCATAGTAACAAAGGATAGAAACACAAATAAATCATGGAAACTCCACGCAGACATCAAAGAGGCTGGGCTATAGATAACCACATGAACTTTTGTTGACAAGCTTTTTTAGCAAGATAATTTTACTTGAGAAGCCATACTGTGCAAGATACACTACCTTTAAACGTTAGGATTGTTTTATACATTTATTCCAAATTTGACTTTTATTGATACAGTAAAGACTTTCACATTGTTATAAAATAACCTATTTCGATTTAAATGCTGTTCTTTTGAACTTTCTATTCAAAGAATCCTGAAAAAATGTATACTGATTTCTACAAAAATATTAAGCAGCACAATTGTTTTCAACACTCATAATAAAAGGAGAGCAGCAAATCTGAAGTAATGACTGCTGAAAATTCAGGATTGCATCACATTAATAAATTCCATTTAAAAAAAATATTAAAATAGAAAACAGCTATTTTAAATAGTAATAATATTTCACATTTTTTTATGGATTTTACTGTGTTTTCAGTTTGTCTTGATAGGCAAAAAAACATTTTTTTTTAAATCTTACTGACCGCAAACTTCTGAATGGTAATATATTATGCAGGGTTGCTTCTCAAGTAATTTTATCTTGTTTTAGTTTTACTAAATTTTCATTACTAATATTTTATTTTTTATTTTTTTTTATTCTTGTTTAAAGGGGTCATATGATGCTGCTAAAAAGAACATTATTTTGTGTATTTGGTAATCCTTTCTCTTAATCCTTTTTTAAGTAACGTGTTGAAATTTTTGTTTTTAAAATATATATTAGGGGTTATTGGGTTACTACAGGATAGTCTTGAAGGAAGGTCTATATATTTTCATCAGTCCAATATATATTTCTCATCACAAAACCAAAATATCGCCAAGGTAAAACAGAGGCAGAATTAGATTTTAATGGATCTGCGGGGCATTTGTGACAACATGATGGATGGTGCTGTTAATGTGGTTTCTGGGTCATCTCTAAACCTGCGTTTAACATGAAATTACATTACAACATTGAAAACATCAAAGCAAAGGGTACTTACTGTGATGAGAGTTTGGTAGAGACAGTAAAAGCCCAGATACCAGATGAACCTCCCATTGGTAAAAGGTGGGACAAACCAAAGGTAGAAGTAAGAGACCACCATGAATGGAGTGCAGCCCACCATCCTACAGAAGAAAAGGACACAAAATGCAATTAAGTATAATCAGCATTCACATAATTCAAAATGTGGAAAAACATATTTTGGGACTATATTTCTGGCAAAGGTTGTTTGAAGGAATCAAGGCAAGTCATCTGGGCACAGGAAGCCTGTTAGGAGGGAACTAAATAACACTGTGTTCAATGTGGTTTACCTGATCTCACATTTTAGCTTCTGTACTAATCAATATAAGAGCAGCTTGAGTGTCATCTTAAAGCTACAGTGCACATTTATTGCAGATGTGTGCATCCGTGTATGGTTGTTGTCTCTGTGTGAAAAACAGCACTTGTTTGTGAGGATGCTCCTGCTGTAGGAATAATCATCTACACCGCTGGAACGCAGGCCACACAACCACAGTGACAATCTGACATGGTCGTCGTGTATCTCAGCAGGGAGGAATTCTGCGGCATTTTTTTTTTTTTTGCAGGATGTGGGGAATGTGTTGGCCATTTATAATTCATACTGATACAAGTCTTCCATATAGCATTATGGGAGAGGCAATCAGCTGCAGGCATGAGCCAATGAAAGTAGGAAGAATTTAAATAATAGAGCTGAAAGAGCCTTTTCTCAAAACGCAGTGAGCCAGCTAAATTATATAGAGAATATTCTAAATTTTGTATTTTTTTTTGTATTTTTACGTAATTTATTTACAATATATTTACTAATACTTAAAGTAAATGCAAGTAACTTCAAGATGGTGATGTATCTTTTCTGCATAACATTTTTAACTCTACATCTACAAAATGATGAATAAAGAATGTGCATTGGGTGTGTTTTTGCTTTTTTAAGTTTTTACTCAATTTATGTAGGTGCTGTACGATACGATCCTTCCTTTTCGACAATACACCAAACTAGCGAAATGTCATTGTCCTTATAGCGCCGTTACATCTTACTTGTTAATCAGGTAAACAAAAAGAATGAATGAATGAATGAATGAATAATGGTGATTATGATTCCAACATGTCACTCACATACATGAGGTGGTGGCAATCAGCTGCAGGCATGAGCCAATGAAAGTAGGAAGAATTTAAATAATAGAGCTGAAAGAGCCTTATCTCAAAACGCAGTGAGCCAGCTAAATTATATAGAGAATATTCTAAATTTTGTAGTTTTTTTTTTCACGTAATTTATTTACAATATATTTACTAATTCTTAAAGTAAATGCAAGTAACTTCAAGATGGTGATGTATCTTTTCTGCATAAAATTTTTAACTCTACATCTACAAAATGATGAATAAAGAACGTGCATTGGGTGTGTTTTTGCTTTTTTATGTTTTTACTCAATTTATGTAGGTGCTGTACGATACGATCCTTCCTTTTCGACACTACACTAAACTAGCGAAATGTCATTGTCCTTATAGCGCCGTTACATCTTACTTGTTAATCAGGTAAACAAAAAGAATGAATGAATGAATGAATGAATAATGGTGATTATGATTCCAACATGTCACTCACATACATGATGTGGTTGCTAGGGTGTTGCCATGTGGTTGCTAGGGCGCTTTGGGTGGTTGCTATGGTGTTGCTTTGCGGTCACTAGAGTACCCAGGGTGGTTGCTAGGGTGTTGCTATGCAGTTGCTAGGGTGCTCGGGTTGGTTGCTAGGGTGACGCTACCCAGGGCGGTTGCTATGGTGTTGCTATGCAGTTGCTAGGGTACTTGAATGGTTGCTAGGTTGGTTTGGATGGTTGTTAGGGTGTTGGTATGCGTTTGCTAAGGTACTCGAGGTGGTTGCTAAGATGTTACTATAAGGTTACTAGGGTACCCAGGGCAGTTGCAAGGGTGTTGCTATACAGTTGCTAAGGTACCCAGGATGGTTGCTAGGGTGTTGCTATGCGGTTGCTAGGATATCGGGGCGGTTGCTAGGGTGTTGCTATGCAGTTGCTAGGGTACCCAGAGTGGTTGCTAGGGTGTTGCAATGCGGTTGCTATGGTACCCAGAGTAGTTGCTAGGGTACCCAGGGTGGTTGCTAGGGTGATTAGAATGTTACTAACATGTTGTTACCATGATTAGCACGTTACTAGCATGTTGCAAGCATGTTTCTAGCATGATTAGCATGTTATTAGCATAGATATAAGTAGATGCCCTTTTAGCAGCTGTTTCGATGGGCCGCTATACGTAAGCCGTCCGCCATATTGGAAGATGGCGAACGCGTCAACGTATCTGGAGCGGTCGAATGTGGCATCTATAAATATCTATGGTTATAATGTTGTTAGCATGACTAGCAAGTTACCAGCATGTTTACAGCATGATTAGCATGTTACTAGCACTAGCATGTTACATACTAGCTCACACAAACTTTCAATTACAGTCGATTCAACTTTACAACTAGATCTCATGTTAAACAATAACTAGGCTAATAATATTTTTGTAAATATTTGAATGTTTTTATATATAGACCTAAATTTCAAAATCTTCAGAATATTACCATTATTAATCCATGCAGCAAAACTCTGTTGTGAATACCTATAGGCCTATCTATTTGTCATTTGAGTCTGACAATAATGAAAAAAACAAAACTGTTAATAGGCTGTAATGTGTCACAAACCAACAATATAAATCACTGAATGGGTTCATTACTTAAAACTGACTCAGTAAGTTCAGTAAGGAGTCATGACGGCTCTGAATGAGTGAATTTGAGGTAGTTTGGTGAATTTTATATGAAAAGAACCAGGTCATAAGAGTCATTTTCCGCTGTATTCATTTGTTGTGGGCAGGAAACACTGGCACGCACTAATGAGATGAAATCTGACGAAACTCAAATGGACGCACGCAAACCCTTCACAAATGTGGATTTCAAATTATTGTTGCACATTTTTATTATATTTTGTCACATTTGGCACCATTTTAGTCACAATCTACAGCCCTGTTTCCCATATCTCCGCTTCAGGAGTAAGACTCGTCCCACAGCAAGTAATCGTTTGCTGAGTGCTGAATTCAGGTTATTGGCTTCCGTTCTAAATTACGTGACCTTGTCAACTCTAGAACTATCACAACCCTGTTCCTGTAAAGAAAACCTCAATGTTCGGTCAGGTCATTTCTAAGCAGGTTTACCCTGGACACACTGACCTCTGCGCAACACCGCTTTTCACTTTCACAGAGAATAAACAAGTGTAAGCAAACAAGCAACACAGAGAACAGTGAGGTAAAGAGAGCAGCCAATTCTGGCACAGTCCAGATGCCACTACTGCAGTGTGGAGCAACCCCTGTGTGCCCTGCTGATTGTTCGGTCACACAAAGGAGCCGCCGTACAGGAAAGAGAGAGAGCAGGACGGTCTGTAAGGTTCTGAAGAAATTATTTTTGGCTTCTCTTCCACTGAAAAAATTAACAGGGTGCTATTCTGTGATTAATATGCTCTATTAACTTAATTTCCGCAAGTATTTTATTGCTTAATATTTAATTATAATATGTGGAGATCTTACCTGTGCAATGTCAAGTAGATATATTTGAAGGAAGAATGCTGTTGCGCTCCCGGCGACCTGATTCGGTGCTCCTCCGATGGCGAAACAGAGTTTGCTACATACAGAGAGTTTCTGATCCAGATGAGTCTGAAACAAAAAGTCTCTGAGTCAGAAAATAATATCCAACACAAATACTATATTTTGGAGAGTACAAGAAAAATCCTGTCTTTAAGGTAAAATTTTGAAGCTCATGGGTCATTTTTTTGGCAGCATTTGTACCTGAAAGATTCATTTTCAAATATTTAGCATTTTATTTAGTTTGAAATATCATATATATATAAATAAATATATATATATATATATACACACACACAATATATATATATATATATATATATATATATACACACACAATATATATATAATAAATAGTACAATTATATAAGATGAATATAATTAATATTAATATTTAAAGCAATTAATATAAACATCTTTGTATGTATGAATTGCATTTGTTAATGCATTTCTGAATAAATTAATAGATAATATGAAGAAAATAAGCAACATAACACTGACCCATAAATCACTACATTTGCACATTAAAATCAGATTTTTTTTTTTTTTACTCAGTGAGGTTACAACACACGGCTCGATACTAAAGTTCCCTCACAAGATTAAAGGGACTAGATCTGTCTTACTGTAGATGCAGGAAACGTGCATTGGGTCACATGCAGCAATGGCAAACTAGTCATACTGAGTGATTGGCAGATACCAGACATGAAGGGTGGGTGGGTTTGAACTATGTTTGGTGACCAGCAAAGAGCAAAACTGACTCAGACACAACAAGGATCAACACACCGGCCTGCAAGATGAGGCGACAGAAGGAGAAAACAAAACAAGTTAGAAGTGAGCAAACAAAAAAAAAGGAAAAAAAAGGGAGACATGGAAATGAAGTGGGAGAGGAGGAACAGAACAAGAGTTGGTGAAATCTGAAGGGAGCAGGCCTCTCGGAACAGGCAGGGCCGTGATGGGAGAGGGATAGTCTTATCTAACCCCATCCACGCTGTAACGGTCAGAGCTTTCATGGCCTGCTGAGGGAGGAGCGACAGCCGGAGGAGAGAGATAGAACTGTGGACATGAGTAATCAGAGACAAACAGACGAGACCATACTCTCCTCCTCACTCTCTCCCATAACAGCTCTATGACAGAATGACAGTCTGCATTTTAACTCAATCCATCCATCCTGTTCCTCAAAGCTCAGAGTCTCATATAATGAACAGGAAACAGCTTCTTATCGCACCACTGGAGGACTGTGTGGCCTCTGCAAAAGCACAGAACTAGACATAATGCACCAAAAATAAATCTACTATACCGCTCTCAAAGAAGCTGCCATCTTTCCTGACGTCATCATGACATATTGATGAATACTTTCAAATAAGAAAGAATGCTCTCTGTAACGAAAAACAGAGACTATAAAGAGTTACAGAAATGGGAAACTGACTATACGGTTGGGAAAATAATTATTAAAATAAATAATAATTATAAAAATAATATCATTTTTTAAATAATATTTAATCATTTCCTTGTTATATCAACATCTGTTTTCTTGCATTTGCAATGTTATAGGGTACATTAATAACGTTAGTGTTGTTTTTGAATACTCATGTGATCTGAAAGTGTTTTTCACTTAAAGGGGTCATATGATGCGATTTCATTTTTTCCTTTCTCTTTAGTGTTACAAGCTCTTGGTGCATAAAGAAGATCTGTAAAGTTGCAAAGACTAAAGTCTCAAATCCAAAGAGATATTCTTTATAAAAGTTAAGAGTTAGCCACACCTACCTAAAACGGCTCGTTCGAACACGCCCCCACATATCTACGTCACTATGTGGGAAGATTTGCATAACGCCGCCCAAATGTTCAAGCAAAGAAAGAAGGCTAACTTTTATTCTCGCTGTTGCCGCCGCTGCCATGTTGTGGAGTCGCTGTGTGTTTCGTTGTGAAAGCAAAACTACTTTATATAATTTATATTATATATAAATATATTTAATATATAAAAATTTAACATTTTTCTTAAATATATACATGCATGGGTGTGTATTTATATATACATAATATACACAGTAAACACACATATACTATGTGAACAAAAACTTTTATTTTGGATGCGATTAATCACGATTAATCGTTTGACAGCACTAATATATATATATATAAAATGGGGACATGCAGATGTTCTGATATTCCAATGAGAAACATCTATTTCCAAATAAAAATGTCTTAAAATTGTTTACATTTATTTGCATTGAAGACTAAACATTGTAGAGTTCAATCTCTGAAATAATGTGACTGCTGTCTCAAATAATGTGCTGTTAAATATATCATGGGGTTTCTACCTTTTCACTTTTATTTTCTTCAAAGTAATTCATCCTGATTTGTTGTAGTCTGGTACTTGATTAGATGTGCTTGAATCATCTCCATGTGCTATTTTATTGAGGTTTCTGGGTGATAATCACAGCATCTGTCTTTGGACTGCCGGTTCAGAGTTTCTCTTTCTCCAGCATGTGGGTGGGATAGATTGAAGGGTCCTCAGCCTGAGACCCTTCAAAACCACAGGTAATATTTAAACCAGATGCTTCCACTGCTGTGAGTGACGGGGTATTTGATCACAGAGAACACCCTTAAAATAAAGCTTCTTCAAAGCTTCTTTTAAAGAACACTTTTCGCTGTGTAATATTCTAAAGTTGCTATATGGTTCTTTAAAGGTTAAAAAAAGCTATTGGTCTTACATTATACACTAAAATGTCCTTTAAAATAGGGTCCAATGTACTGTGTTAATAAAAGCATTTTTCTTATTCATTTTTTCACAGGTTTTCCCCCCATATTTTCAATTAAGCATAGTTTTGTGTTGTTTTAGAGGTCAAAGGAAATAAAGGTAAACTTAACAGAAAATGTCCTAGCAGAAAATCTAGCATTACATCACTTACTCACCAATGGATTCTCTGCAGTGAATGGGTGCCGTCAGAATGAGAGTCCAAACAGTTGATAAAAACATCACAATAATCCAAAAGTAATTCACACGATTACATGTTAATAAAAAGCATTTTTCTTATTCATTTTTTCACAGGTTTTCCCCCCATATTTTCAATTAAGCATAGTTTTGTGTTATGTTTTAGAGGTCAAAGGAAATAAAGGTAAACTTAACAGAAAATGTCCTAGCAGAAAATCTAGCATTACATCACTTACTCACCAATGGATTCTCTGCAGTGAATGGGTGCCGTCAGAATGAGAGTCCAAACAGTTGATAAAAACATCACAATAATCCAAAAGTAATTCACACGATTACACAATTCACAAGTAATTCCATCCATTAACATCTTGTGAAATGAAAAGCTGCATGTTTGTGCGTTTGTAACAAATCCATCAAGATGTTTTTAACTTCAAACTGCTGCTTCCGGCTATTCATAATATTGCTTTCTCTAGTGAAGAATTAGTCTTGTTTGAATCAGGAGAGAAATATGCACAAATCAAGCACTGTTTACAAGCCAAAACTGTTCTAAATAAATTATGTTGGTAGATTTTAGTGTGAGAGGACAACAGGGGATGTTTTTTTTTTTACTGGAGGAAGCGTTATTATGGATTATGGATTTTAGCCGGAAACATTAAAATGTCTTAATGATGGATTTGTTTCTTACAAACATGCAACTTTTCACTTCACAAGATGTTAATTGATGGATTGGAGTGGTGTGGATTACTTGTGGATTATTGTGATGTTTTTAATCAGCTGTTTGGACTCTCATTCTGACGGCACCCATTCACTGCAGAGAATCCATAGGTGAGCAAGTGATGTAATGCTACATTTCTCCAAATCTCTTCCCACGATTAAAAATTTCATTTACATCTTGGATGGCCTGAGGCGGAGTAGTAAATGTTCAGCAAGTTTTCATTTTTTGCTAAACTATTCATTTAAAAGTAAAACCACATCATTAAACTGCACTTGCCATTCAAAGGGACCCAGCAATGACAAAATGGAGAAAACATGTGTATATAGTGAGTAAATAGTAAGTGACTTATCATTACCGTAATGAATAAAGAAATGTGTGTGCGTGTGTTTTGAGTGGCTTTCTGAATCTAAAGCATTTCACACATTAAAAAGGACACTCACTCCTTGGAAAGCTCTGTGGATAAGGCAGAGTAAATGTGTGTTTTTGAGGGTGTGTGTGTGTGTGTGTGAGTAGAAAACGGAGGGGAGATCCTTTCAACACATAAAAGGGAAGCCTAACCGCCGCTCAGAGCCATATATTTATGAGAGAAATCTTGGAGACAGTCAGACAGACATTTGGTGCTGAAAATACTACAGAAGTCAAACACTCCTCTTTTGAGTTGTTAACTCATTCATCCGCTCAATCAAAGCCAGTGTTTGGCGTCTCCACGCCAACATGCACTCTGGGTACCCTCGCAGCAAAACAACCACAGAGGGCAGGAACGATCGCTCTTCAGAAGACGCTGTAATTAACTCTCAACTACACCACGATGAAGAAAAGATGAATGACTTCTGAAATCACAATGTAATTATTCTGATAACTCAGGCAAGAAAATGAAAAGACTGGATATACACCCAAGTCTATTTAATCTCAACTCCGATGCTTCTTTGAATTATTCCTCTGAAGAAGGAAAATTAAAAGGATTTGATGGTACTAAAGTGTGAAATGAGGAAGCTTGTGCGCTTAGCCTTGAGGCTGATATTTATTCTGGTTGATCTCTTACTAAGCATGACTATTGCTATTGCACATATTGTGATCTGAACAAACTCTGTACATATTCTTAAGTTCTGGAAAGAAAACAAAAACCCTCTTTTTAATTTGTATTTTTGAATACTTGCTTTCTGGTAAAAATATCACAACACTCTTAAAACAAATTAATTATGCAAGATAGAAAACTGGTTTTGAGAAACTTTATTTATGTACTTACTACATTGGCAAATAGTATTTTTTATAGTGAGCGTAAACCTCACTAGATTTTTAGCTGATTTTAATTTTTAGACAGAAATTAATATTTAGACATTTTACTGGATTTTTTTTAAAATTCCAGACTTACAATACTGTTCAACAGTTTAGGATAAGATTTTTTTTTTTTTTTATGTTTTTGAAATAAATCTTATATGCCCAGTGCCAAGGCTGGGTCGATTTATTTGACCAAAAATACAGTAAAATTATTATAATTATAATTTAGAATAACTGTTTTCTAATTTAATATATATTAAAATATAATTTATTCATGTACTGCAAAGCTGAATTTTCAGGCAGTCTTCAGTGTCACATGATCCTTTAGAAATATGCTATGTATTCTATTCTAATATGCTGATTTACTGCTCAAAAACGTATTTTATTATTATCAATGTTAAAAGCCGTTGTGCTGCTCAATAATTTTTTTGGAAACCATGAAGTGCTTTTTCCATAATTCTTTGATGAATAGAAAGTACAAAAGAACAACATTTATCTGAAAATAAAACATTATTTTAGTATAATAAATAAAACTGTGAAATCATGTTTTATAACTTTTTTTACTGTCAATTTACTGACGAATTTAATGGATTCTAGCTGATTTAAAATATTAATGCCTTCCAAAATCACAAATCTTACTGACTGCAGACTGAGAATCTTATAAAGGGTTCTCTGGATTTTGATTGGCAGACATCCACTTAGCAACCATCCCAATCACCCTAGCAACACCCCATCACCCTATCCACAACATTCTAGCATCATGGATTGCTGGAATTCTCACAAAGTTTCTTTTGGTTGCCGTTATCATGATGAACAAACAGGAAGTCATCGAGTTGAGACACAAAATATCTGACTTCCTCACAGATTGAAAACAGCTACCATGATAGCAGCACTGAAGTGTGGGAAGACATATGAAGTGGACATCTATAACTGACATGAAGAACAAAATGGAAAAAAAAAAATTTGAATATCACAAAGCTTGTCGAAAACATGTCTGGGAAATGTTTCACCAAAAAAACATTAAATTCACTAAAAATATTTTAAAAGGGAAATTTGCTTAACGGTCATTAAAAGCATGTCTTAATTTTCTTAAAATTAGGCTTAATTTTCATCACGCAAATTCTATTTTTTATCTTCTGATTTTGAGGTGAAATGTGAGCCGGACCCATGATTTTAGTGAGATTTAACTGCACTAAAGCTCTATGTGCTTAGCCTACTGCCTCACACTTGCTGCTCTGTAAGCTGATTTTCACTGTGTATGTTTGCGTGAGGATGAATCTGGATGACATAATGAAGGGTTTAAGGCTTGATGCCCAGCGAGATTTGAAAACACATTTTATCATTACACTTGCAAGGTCAAATTCACCCTGGACTTTCACCTCCAAACTGAATGCGATTGCTTTCCTGCAGAGAGTGCGATAAACAATATCAAGCTCTCAAAACCCAAGACTGGCAAGTGTAGCAATCCTTTTTTCATGATTGTTGAGGCAGATGTTCTCTTATGGGGTCTCAGTAGATTCAGACTGCACGCATCGGTCTGTACAAACACGCCTGACAGTCACGTAACCGATCTTTATTAAGACATTCACGCTGGTGATCTGACACAAGAAAGACTTGTAAATCTCACAAAAGTCACCCATGATTAAAATATTCATGCTGTATGATATTTACAAGTTATTTCAAATAATACTGCAGTTAAGACACAGTATATGTTCAAAAATCAAGGTATTACCATGGTAACATATCCAAAAATCCATGGTAGAAAGAAATCTCCACTTCAAATCTTTAACGTTCCACTATGAGAGTCTCCATCTTTCCTTTTTGTGATGGCGTGTGTGAGAACAAGAGCTCTCCATTAGTGTGTTTTCCATACATTATTGACACACGACTACCATTTTCCCTTCGACCAGAGGGTCAGCGCAGAGGAACAACACAGCAGACTTTATTTCACTTGACAGATCATGCCTGACATTATTTTTCCATGGATGAAGGACATATTGCTTCCAGAACTAGAGGTACAATGTCTACAAATATTATACGGTCTTTTAAGTAGAATCAAATGACAATTGCATGTGGAATTAAACCAATATTTGCTGTCCAACATCCAAAAGGCAAGCATTTATATATTTCATCTATTAAAAAGAATCTGGGAATAAACAAGTAACAGTGAAAAGCTTTTCATTTACTTTCAACGCACATTATATCTATTTCTAACCCAGCTGATAATACACTGTCAGTCTGTGGCACGTGAAAGGAATTCGGTTCTGATTACAGAAGTGATTTGTAACTGGTGCAGTGGTTAAACTCTTGTAATCTTGTAATATATGACAAAAAAATACAGCATGTGTCTTTACAGCACTATGTACTTGTGGGTTTACTGTCTGCCTGTCAGTGCTACGCCTAAACAGCCTTTGGGCATGTGTGTTGGTAAAGCATCCACGAAAAACATTCCATGCTCTCATTAAAACATGCCATTCCGCATACTTTCATAACGTACAGATGCAAAAAAAAAAAAAAAAAGTTCAGAGCGGTATCATAACAAAAAAAACAAAATACATATATATTGGCACCTGTTCCCCCCTACTGAGTGTTCATCAACTCCATATTGTGCCTGACACTCAAATATGATTTGTGCAACCCAATGCAGTCACTTTATACATTTTTTGACTTGAATAACATTAATATAAATTGAGATGCAAATTGCAAGCTAAAGATCATTAGTGGAGTATATTAAAAAGATATTGCAATATGCAAGCACATAACTAATGCAGAAAAACTTAAGTGTGCATCACATTGCCTTACCTGTGGTGGAACCTTGGTGAAAGCAGGTTCAGGTTGCTTCATCGTGAGTTTGTCCCCTGATGTGACCGGGGCTTTCTCCCCCTTGGCCATGGCAGCCGGTGCGAGGGGTACAGAGACAGCAACTGAACTCTCTGGCTTCTCAGAGCTGGCTACAGCTGTGCCTGCATCCATTCACAGACTGCAGCAGTGAGAGGATGGGCGGGGTTACAGAGCTTCAGAGGCCACATGCACAGACGCTTTCCAGCTGTCACTCACAGATGTGAGCCAATCAGATGCCTCGCTCTGCCAAAACAAGCTGCTTACCTGAATCTGATACAGAGTACATTCCTATGCTGTTACACTGACACTAAATAAACACATATGCAAAGTAAGAGTTGCTTAAGAATTTAATTACTTGTATGTGCTGAATATACAGTTAGCCTAACACAAAACATAACGTTCACTTTTCCATCAGAAATACCTTGCGTACATATAATGTAAAAATGTTTTGTTATCCAAGCAAGTGACATATTTGATTAAATAAAATATTGAATACACAGACTAACGAAACGTATCATGGTGATACCATGGTATTACATACAGACAGACAGATAGAGATATTATCTAACCTGAGTGATGCGGTGAGCTATCAGCTGCTGCAGCGGTGCATGAACTGCGGGTTCATTCCATCACTCACATTCACATTCACTGCAGCAGCAGCACGTTCAATAGATGTAATTACAAACACACACGTGCGCCCCCTACAGGACAGCAAACACAACTCACAGGATCCTAGACCTAGTGATGAGACATCCTAACTAACACGGCAGTAAATAAATCAAATTATTAGCATACAGGCATTTTAAATCTAAGTTGTAGTGTCATGGCATTGCATCAAGGCTGCATTTATTTGATCCAAAATACAGCCAAAACAGTAATATTGTGAAATATTTCTACAATTTAAAATAGCCGTTTTCCGTTTGAATATATTCTAAAATGCAATTTATTCCTGTGATGCAAAGCTGAATTTTCAGCATCATTACTCCAGTCTTAAGTGTCACACGATCCTTCAGAAATCATTGTAATTGACTGTTTTAAAATAAAAATTTAAAGAAACATTTCCTATTAGGCTATTGTCAAAAGTTGGAAACAGTTGTGTACAATTTTTTCAGGATTCTTAAATGAATAGATAGTTCAAAAGAACAGCATTTTAACAGTTATTTTAAATTGTAAAAATATATTGTTTTTGATATACACCACAAACAAAATGCATAAAATCCTTTAGTTTCACATAACTGCTCACAAACTCCCAGGTATACACTTGCCATAAAGTTAATGAAAAGATGAATAAATACGCTTATCAGGCCTGATGGTCAGACCTGGTCAAAACAGTCATATCAACCTTAATATACTCCAGAAATTCCTGACATTCAGCCCACTGGCCAGGAAACCAACCATATGGTTGGCATTACATGTAAACGCATTTCCAACATTTTGTGCAACGGTAAACAATATGTGGAAATGAACAGGATGTTTAAAAGGACAGTTGGAACAAGATTAATATGGAACAACAGTAGAGACTAGAAATAGTAATTACACTAATTCCTTGAATGATTAATAGATTATATAGTGATGAAAATGGTTTGACTGAATTGCATTGCGGATTGATAGAGGATCAACTTAAACTACCCAAAAACTGATAAAGACAATCGAACTATATGATTTCTTTTTTTAAATGCACTTCTAAAATATTTAAAAGTAATAGGTCAGAAGATGAATCCAAACGCGTTCACACCAAAAAGCAACATATTGATCAGAAAGTCGCCTAAATTTCTACTTATCCCCTCTGTGAGCGTTTAAAACACGCTAGAACCCATTTACCCCCCTTTGAAGTGAGAAAAGGAATCAGCATATCTTCAGTAGGTTTATTGCAAGCAGAGGTCTTTATAACAGAGCCTCTTGTCTTAGGCAAAGTGCATAAAACATTTGACATTTATAACTTAACGGTTCACAGTAAGACATACTAGCACAGATGATCGAACACAACTCCATTAAGCATCATGGCAGCTTCTATGATCTGAATTCTTCATTGATCTGTGCAAACATGTATAATAGTGAAGGTTAAAAGACTTGGCTTGTGCATACTGCATTGCATCAGAAAAGGCCAACACATCCAACTGTGAAAGAACATGACGAGAAATAAAAAATAAAACAAATAAATAAAAATAAAACTTTAAAAGAATAATTCACCCAAATATGAAAGCACTGTCATCATTTACCATTTTTAATCACCCACTTGTCATTCCATTTTGACTGAAATGTAAATTGTTATTCAGTTTATCTTTTAATCCAGTGAACTTGCTGTGACTGAATCACGGAGTCAGTCAACTCGACAACCATTTGTCTGATTTTTCATTTTTTGGTGAACTATTCATTTAAATCTATTTGTGTTGAGTGGCCATCTATAATGTCTTAGAAGGGTTTTCAAAATCAGGTGAAAATAGAAAAACACCGGCCTTTATGGTTTAAAAAGAATGAAAAATGTCCTCAGCCTCAGGCCATCCAGAATGTAAATGAGTTTGTTTTTTCATGGGCACAGATTTGGATAAATTTAGCATTACATCACTTGCTCACCAATGGATCCTCTGCAGTGAATGGGTGCCATCAGAATGAGAGTCCAAACAGCTGATAAAAACATCACAATAATCCACACCACTCTAATCAATCAACATCAATAAATATCTTATGAAGCGAAAAGCTGCATGTTTGCAAAAACAAATTCATCATTAAGGCTCTAAACTGTTGCTTCTGGACAAAATACAAGTCCATAATATTTTTTTTTTCTCTTTCGTCCTCTCACATCAAAATCCACTAACATATTTGTTTAGAACCGTTTTGGCCTATAAACGGTGCCTGATGTGTGCATATTTCTCTCCTGATTCAGATAAGACAAACTTTTTTACTGTAGAAAGCAATATCATGGATATTAGGGCTGTGCGATTAATCGAAATCGTCATAAAATCGTGATTTGAGCTTGCGCGATTTCTAAATCGCTTTATAGCACGATTTTCCACGCCCCCGACCTCCCGCAGTATGCTATTGGAACGCGCCTAAATGGAGCACGAGAACAGAACAGACCGGGCGGGCATACAAAAACGTAACGCCAGGTTCACACACTCCGTCTGTGGTACGTATTTTTTCCGCACCCATGTTAACGGATCAGAGCGTTCACACTGCACGCGATTGCGGTCCAGCAGTGCGCTCCAGGAGCGGTGCGTCTGCAGCAGTCATGCTGCGATCGTTTCCGCACGGAGACTATAGGCCCGGGTATACTTCACTCTCCGCGTTCACATTTTGTTACACCTTTACTTAGTGATTATTTTGCCTTATGTCTGTTCTAGAGACATGTTACAGCTTCTTGATAAAGCTCTAATTGGTTTTCTTTTGGTAATATGTTTCAAATTCACACTGAATGCATTAATGACTGTAAAGCATGTCTGTGTGTGTCAAAATCGTGATTAAAATCGAAATCGCAATATTGATCAAAGAAACCGCAATAGGTTTTTTTTGTCCATATCGCACAGCCCTAATGGATATTCAATTTTTATCAGATGCAATGATTTGATGTTACAAACATCTCGATGATTAATTTGTTTCTTACAAACACACAGCTTTTCGCTTCACAAGACGTTAATTGATAGACTGGATTCATGTGAATTATTGTGACGTTTTTATCAGCTCTTTAGACTCTCATTCTGACAGCACCCATTCACTGCTGAGGATCCATTGGTGAGCAAGTGATGTGATGCTAAATTTCTCCAAATCTGTTCACATGAAGAAACAAACTCATCTACGTCTTGGATGGCCTGAGGGTGAGTAATTTTTCATTTTTAGGTGATCTACTCCTTTAAGAGAGAAGGATTAATGAAATGTCTCTCAAACGTGTGGGATCAATAAATCGGAGTCTCTGGTGCAAGCAGGAACAGTCAGGAGTGACCAAAAGGAGCTTGTGTGTTGAGAGGCCTCTGAACGATGACAGCATTTGCTAAATCAGCTTCCTTTAAACTCTGACCCTCATCTCTCAGCTCTCGGAACGGCAGGGATGTAGTCAGGATGAAAGGAGCGTCCGTTCTCTGAGCCTGCTCCACAAAATGCTGCACATCACTGATCCTGGAACAATTACATAAAGGCCAACATGAATGCATCTTCTGAGGGAGCTTTGCAGCCGCATCTTAGCAATCATGTTCAAGTCAGAGGCATGAAATCCTTACATGTGGTGACGCAAACGTTAAATCCAGCGTAATCTGATTTGATCTGCTGCAAAGTTGCAGCTTACGATTCTTCCATTTTACCTTGTGAGCTTATATTACATAAATGATGAAGGAGAATTATGTAAGAGCTTTTGAGGGTAGGATTTCAAAACTGGAGCACCACAACATGCCCAGGGTGGATTCTGACAATACAATAAGAACATTCAGACATAATCATGTCTAAGGCCTGTAACCTTAGCTTTGTCCAGTTTATAAAAGCATAGTACACTAAAGAATGCATATTCAGTTATAGTTTTTTTAAGGTGATGCTTCGTGGGGCAAAGTACAAACCAAAAAATGCATTTAGACTTAAAACTTCCATGCATTTAGACCAAATAATTGGCTGCAGTATATTGATGGCGTCAAATATGGAATATTACATTTTTCTTAAAACATGTACTGTATACAGTTACTGCCATATAAATAAATAAATAAATAATATATATATATATATATATATATATATATATATATACTGAAACCCACTGTATATATATAATGCACACACATACACCATAGATAGTAAATCATACTTCTATATAATAATACTACATAAGTTGGATAAATATCATAAAAACATTTAATATTACATTTTTATACATTGTAAACAGTTACTTCAACTCTTTTTGCAATCAATTTATTTAATTTTACAACATTAGGGCTGCAAAAATTACACACTTTTAAGCATTTTTTTTCTTTAGGGGGAAATATGACCCAGATGTGTTTTCAAGAGGTTCACCTTCTACGAGCATATGATACTCACCGATGGCACAGATTAAACCTCTGCACAAGACGCTGACCGTCTGCCAGCCAGATCTGGAGGGAGGTCACGGGGAGGTCCTCATTCAGCTCCACAGCCGGGAGAGGAGGACCAGAACAGTCCTCATGTATCGACCGAGACCTGGCCACCAGTCGCGGAGCCACGCTACAGAGGACAATCATTGCAACTTAATCAATTTCTAAAGTATGGTTAAAAGCCTAACTTTGTCCAATGAACTGCAAGTATTGTCATGTGATTTCACATGTGATTAGAGGGTCAACTAACTAACACTAACATCTGGATAATCCTTGACACATTTACAGACAAAACACCTCAGAGTAGAAGTGTTTCGAGGACACCTAGTGGATGTTTGTGGGAATAACTACGACTAGATAAACTACTCAAATCTTTCATTTTATTACTTTACAGCACGTACTTAAGCATCACTATTAAGCCTTCTCTTTAGGTGTGAAACTTTACAGGCCAATTTAAAACACTATAAACCAGAGAGGATCTGCTACCTTCCCAGTCTGTAACCTCGGCCTGTAAACGGGTGAAAGGTCTTTTTCTTTGGGACATAAACTTCATCTTTCATGTCCTCCACGTTGACTTCTAGTTCTTCATCCTCAGCTCTTCCTTCAAGCTCCAGAGGCAGCTCACTTTAAATAAAGGATATTTAGATTATTACATGTCTGCATGTCATCATTTGAGGGGAAAAGTGCAATAATGATAATAGAATGGGCATTTTACACCTTTGCGAGAAGTAGAATGTGAATGCTATAATATTGCCACCGTGACAATTATCAACACTGCTCACCCTCTTTTAATGGCCTCCAAGAACTCTTGGTTTTCTTCTAGAGTGTAACTGCGTAAATCTTCATCGTTTACTGTGAAACCATTTTTCCACAGTCTCACTACAATCTCCACCTGAAAAAGTTCAGCCATGAAACACTCTTAAGCAGCCAGAAGAACCCTTGAAAATTTATTATTTTTTGCATTTCTTTCTGACGATGCTAGTGACTAAGAAATTACACACTTAAAGGAATATTTCACCTAAAAATGAAAGCAGAAAATTTACTCACTCTCAGTCCATCCAAGATGTAAATGAGGTTGTTTCTTCATCAGAACAGATTTGGAGTAATGTAGCATTACATCACTTGCTCACCAATGGATCCTCTGCAGTGAATGGGTGCCGTCAGAATGAGAGTCCAAACAGCTGATAAAAACAAACATGCAACTTTTCACTTCACAAGACTGATTTGATCCGCTGGAGTCATGTGGATTATTGTGATGTTTTTATCAGACTCTCATTCTGACGGCACCCATTCACTGCAGAGGATCCATTGGTGAGCAAGTGATGCAATGCTAAATTTCCTGATGAAGAAACAAACTCATCTACATCTTGGATGGTCTGAGATTGAGAAAATTTTCAGCTATTTTTTTGTAGTTGTAGTTTCTTCTCAAAGTGACATTACATTGATGTAGCTAGCTGTTAAGCCACAACAACATTATTATTTTAGGTAACCACCAGAATGTTCTGAACACAATTGCACACAAGAAGCCTCATATGAACTGTCTGACCTTTTTGCCGCTGCTGGCGACACTGCTGATCTTCTCCACCTCATCGAGCAGGTCCTCCACGGAGAAACTGGATCTAATTGGGCTCACCTCCTCGTCGTCCTCCTCTTCGTCACTTTGTGCCCCTTCACACCTAAGAGCTCACAAAGGCAAGAAAGTGTGATTCATTTTAGATTACTCCAATTACGAACATGCAGTAATGATATAATGTTACTGGCATGATAATGTTTTAAGATGGATAATGGACACAGAGCAGTGTATAGCGGACTTACCATGTGTCATCTTGAACCCTTTCTCTTGAATCAATATCTCTCATCATGACTTCTTTTGTTGTCCATCTTGCAACACAAACATAAGCGGGCATATATAAGTTATAAGGGATGGTGCAAGTCAACGTAACCACTGCATCAGTGCTTCCTGAATAATTCATGGGGCAGGACTTTGTGTGAGATTGACAGGTGCAGGAAATTCTCAAAACACTGATCGGCTTTCATACCAGTCCAGTAAATCAAGGTAAAATTATGTTTCAACTGACCAGAAATGACCAATGATACACTGATCAATTACTGCTGGTTCTTTTAATGGAATAATTATTCAAATTAAAAACATATTATAAAAGGAATACATATTAATATATTTCATAAAAATAAATATTGCAAAATAAACAAACTATTTAACAACAAACTCTTGCTTTCGGACATGTGCCATGAAATTACCATGTGATGCATTTGAAAAGTATAAAGATATTTCATCAGTATTAATCTGATCAGTATTTAATCAGCTGCTTATTACTGAATGATGACATCATGATGCACTTACAGTATTCTATATGACAATAGGCTTGTTTGAGATGCGCCTTGCCTCGCCTGAAATCTAGGCGAGAGTAGACAGCTGCAGTGAGAGGAGGCAGGGGTGCCGCTAGCAATTTTGGGCCCTATGAAAGAATATGAGGTTGGGCCCCCTACCGCACCAAACATACACTATATTGCCCAAAGTATTGGGATACCCCCTTCTAATGAACAGGTTTGACTACTTTCGTAATTTCCACGAGTACAAATCTTAATGTTTAAGCATATAATGATATTCTAGGGAATTGTGTGCTTCTAATTTTATACCAATAGTTTGAACAGGACCCTTTTCTATTCTAACACGACAATGCCTTTTTGTATAAGCCAGGCAAGGTTATAAAATAAATAAATAAATAAATTTAAAAAAAGATTGATTCAGTCAGTGTGGAAGAACTTGACTGGTCTATATAAAGCCAAGTCCTAATCCCAGCTGAAGACCTCTGGTGTGACTTTAAATGCAGACCTTGAGCCAAAAACTTATCACCAAACACCAATGACTTGTACATACATATGGACAAATGTATTGGGACACCCCCTTCTTTAGAACAGAAAAAGGCACTTCCAAAACTGTGGCATCAAAGATGGAAACATAATTAAAAGTATTTAAAAATTGCATTTCCATCTTTGTTGCCACAGTTTTGGACTTGTCTATGTACGTACTAAATGATTGTACGCATATGTACAAGTCATTTGTGTTTGGTGATGAGTTTTTGGCTCAAGGTCTGCATTTAAAATCACACCAGAGGTGTTCAGCTGGGAATAGGACTTTGCGTTCTGCAGACCAGTCAAGTTCGTTCACACTGACTGAATCAAT